CAAAGGAAAAGGAACAATAATTTCACACGTGTAATGGCATGCCCAACGTGTGTGTGCAAAGAAATAATTGAACAAAGGAAAAAGAAACGAATATTCCCCCCCTTTAGTGTTATTCGGAATAATTACAAGACGGTGACAATTTTTCCCCAAAGGAAAGGGAAAAATAATTTCACACGTCTAATGTCAATCCAGAAATGTGTGTGCAAGGCAATAATTGAAAGAATGGCAAGACACCGAATGTTCCACCCCTTTAGTGTAATTCGGAATAATCAGCAGACGGAGAAGAATTGTGCCCCCAGGAAAAGGAAAAATAATTTCACAAGTGTAATGTCATTCCAAAAATGTCTGTGCGACGAAATAATTGAACAAATGGCAAGCCACACAATGTCCCACGCCTTTAGTGTCCTTCAAAATAATTACAGCATGGGGCAACATTTTGCACACAGGAAAAAGAAAAATCATTTCACCCGTGTAATGTCATTCCCAAAATGTGTGTCAAAGGAAATAATTAAACAAATGCAAAAGGAACGAATCTTCCACCCCTTTACTGTCATTCAGAATAATTACCAAACCGTGCAATATTTTGCACACAAAAACGAAGGGGGATCATTAACTTGGGTAATGTGATTCCAAAAATGCGGTTGCGGAGAAATAATTAAAAGACTGCCAGAACAGCAGTTGTTCACCCCATTTAGTGTGATTCTGAATAATTACCAGAAAAGGCAATATTTTGCCCCCAGAAAGGAAGGGGGATGATTGCCTGGGGTAATGTGATTCCAAAATTTCGGGTGCAGAATAATAATTAAACAAATCCAAACAAAGCGGATGTTCCCCCCATTTAGTGTCATTCTGAATAATTACCGAAGAAGGCAACATTTTGCACACACAATCGAAGGAGGATAATTCACTGGGGTAATGTGATTCCTAAAATGCGGTTGCGAAAAAATAATTAAACACATTAGAAGACAACGGATGTTCAACCACTTTAGTGTCATTCAGAATAATTACCCCCCAGGGCAATATTTTGCAAACCAAAACGAAGGGGGATGATTGACTGGGGTAATGTGATTCCAAAATTTCAGGTGCAGAAAAATAATTAAACACATCCGAAAACAGCGAATGTTCAACCACTTTAGTGTTATTAACAACAATTACGAGAGAAGGCAGTATTTTGCACAAACAATCGAAGGGGGATTATTCACTGGGGTAATATGATTCCTAAGATGCAGTTGCGGAGAAATAATTAAACAAATCCGAAAACATCGGATGTTCACCCCATTTAGTATCATTCTGAATAATTAGCAGAGAAGGCAATATTTTGCACCCAGACGCAATAATGTTCCAATCGCGTAACCTCCTAAAAAAAATTCCGTGGCAAAAAAATAGTTAACGTAATGGAAAAGTGAGGAAAATTCAACCCCATTCGTTTCACTAAAAGTAATTACAGTGCCAAACCAAAAGAAGAAACAGGAGGAACAATTTTATTACGCCGTTAGTGTAACTCAAAATAATTAGAATGTGTGCGTTATTTTACACACCAACAACGATGAATGTTGCACTTATGCAACTTCATTCCAAATAATTACAGAGACAACAATATTTTGCACACAATAAAAAACAACTTTTTCCCCAATTTAATATCATTCAAATTAATTATCAATTGAAGAATAATTACCAACGCAGGGAAAAATTTTGTTTAACCGGATTAGTGTCATTCTAGATAGTCAGCGAACAACAGATATTTTGCCTAAACCCTAAAGAAGCTGTTTACCCCCTTGCATGTGATTCCAATTAATGATCAAACAGGAGAAATTTAGGAAACGAAGAAGAACAGGTGTTTAACCTAATTAGTGTCATTCCACTTAATTACGACGAAGACAACATTTAGAACCACTTAAGTATCAAGTGTTTAACTCGATTAGTTTTATTTCAAATGTTCAAATAGAAGAGAATAATGAGTCCGAAAAAGGAAATTAAAACTATCTCTTCCAAGAAGCCCAAAAAGCCAAGGAATTCCCAGCCAAGAAATCGACTCCCAAAACTAACGAAGAATGAGTTGAGCAGTATGATGTGTATCCAAGTAACAGAAAGAGGTCTTCGACTCAAGGAGCCAGAGATTACATTCCCTTTCCCAATGTGGCTGGATCAAAAAAAACAGGAAAAAGTATCTGACCAAGCCACAGAAGATCAGATGTCACCCTCGGAGGTTGGTGAAGCTAATTGTCAAGAAGAGAGTGAGAAAAAGAAGAGTAATGAATCCTTCAATTCCTCTGATGCGAAAAATTTGACAAGCATTGGTTACTGTCTCTAGCGCAGGAGAAGGTATATCCCAGGAAAACTATTATTTCAAGAAATTGCAAGGGGGCCTTTGGAACGATGAGAAGAAAAACAACATGTATTCCACTTGTACGTTTATTCTAGAATTATCCCGAAGAGTCATTAATTATGCTAAAAAGAAGAGGCAGGATAAACTTTATCATGTTGCAGATTTTATTGACATCGGACAGCCTAAACCCTCTTAAGAGAAGGCTGATGACTAACGTCCTAAGGAAAAGGCCTCTAACAACGTACATGCTGTTTTATTTTTTACAAATCGTGATTGATATTATAACGAACAATTAACGTATATCTGTACATAACAGTGATCATTTTTTAATTGTGTCCAATGTTTGTCCATATGAATAGATATTTCGTTATGCATGTTTTAAACAGCTAAAAAACAAACTTGTTCCGTGAAAATATGTTCACAAATACTAAGACATTGGATCACATCTAGGAGTCTGATAGTGATGCGTCCGGTCTTATATCTTCAACGTACAATAGGGTTCAGGTATAAATCTGAGGTTTAGGATTGAAAAATGATCACTACTATTATAAACTCCATCCCAGGGCTCTGAGTACCGTCATTTAAAACATTGAACGAAACCCCAAATATGCAACTGAGTGCACTAAAGGGTTACCACCCCCCTAGGATGAAGTTCCTTCCATTTGTTAGTTATGCCCCCCAAAGCAAGTTATGTGTTGCTCTGAGTCCAGATTTAGTCTACATTGTGTTAGAATGTGTACCATCTTTCGTTTTATGAGTCTATATGTCCGTTCATTATTAGTGATGCCACCCAGGTATGGTTGTTAGAGGACCTAAATTGACCGAACATAGACAATCAATAGAAAGATTCTATCACAATAATTATAGAGGAGGAAACGTCTTAGACAAGGAAGAATTGATCTATGAGTCAATCTATGGAATTGACCAACTTTGATGTCATCCATATTGGGATGGCCCTTCCTTCTAAGTGGTGGTACTAACAGAATGACCCTTGAGCAACCAGGAAGGGTCCAATTTCGGACTTAGAGGAGTTGTCATTTTATCATCTAGGATTTATCTGTCGAACCGGAAAATAGGAAAACCACCACTTGAGAGGGTTTCTTTGTCCTTAGGAAGGTGAAGCAAGCCCCCCCATTAGGGTGTTGTCTTATAAGTAGGTTATAGGAGTACCCCCTTAGAAGGGGTGAACTGGAACAATCATTTCATCAATCATTAGATTTGTTCTATGTTTCGATCTATCATTATTAGTACCGTCATGGAGGTGTGTTATCAGGAAAAAGTTATTTGTGTCAAAGTTGAAGTGACCACAATCTGGACCCCCCCAACCAGTATGAATAGTAAGGGGGACAGGACTGACAACCATGCATTAGACAACATGAGAAATTGTCTTTTGTCAAAAAATTTGGTGAACCCCGGATTTAGATTTACCCTTGAGAGGGTTGTATTGGAATGGCATGTGTGTAAATTGAACAAGAACCTATAACATCAACCTATATAAGGAATGAATAGGCAGTAGACAGATTATCTGCCCTGAAAAGGGGTGTTGTCAATAAAGATTGGACCGCTGAATTAGGATAGAATAACCCTATATAGGATGTTAGGAAGAGTCATTTTGGACTCCCCCTGTCTATAGTGGTGTGATTAAGCGAAAATTAGGAAGTTGTCTGACAATCGAATTTTGACCCCCCCAAGGAGCACCGCAACCTAAGTCGTGGTATTGAACTAGTGCTAGAAGGGGTCAAGAAAAAAATTTTCGAAACTCCGGTTTAGAAAGGTTGAATCATCATTAGACACGTATATTATGAGTTTTTATACCGGTTTCGAAGTGATATTTGGGCTAAGTAAGAAAAAATAATTTGGTCATAACATCGTCCTATATTATAGGGGAAGGACTGTGATGAAAGAATCAACCTTCGTCTAACAGGAGTTACCATGACAAGGATGAGTAATCTGCTACTGAATTAGTGAATCCCATGGAAGAATTGTTCTAATTCCGGATT